GATACAAAACAAACTTCATTATTTCACACTCTGAAGTTAACTGCGGGATTTACCTTTGTTGCTTCTGGATATGACACAGACACTAGAACATAATGAAGAGCATTAATCCTGCACACAGGCCCATACTCCTCTGCCCTGTAAACGACATGCTGTCATTTAAATGATACACTTAAACATCATTGACACTGAAATGCTATTTTCAACTGCACAAAAACATAGTTTGTACTTAACTTACCACTCTAGGAATTGTTCATGTACATTTCCGCCATTTTTTAATATCCTTGAAAACGTTGGTGAATGTCCGAGGAGAAAACTGGGGAGAAGAGCTTTAAATTAACAAGATCAGTCGCACATAATGTCAGCACAAGTGTTTTACCCAACAACTTTACCTACCTGTCCCTCGGTGGGCCGGGTACGTGGTCATATTTCATATGAATGTGTTTTACGTACAAGCAGTATGCAAGAAACGCAACGATAAGCAGAAAGAAGAGAAATGTAAGAGCCTGAAGTGCCAAAGTCAGAAGTGTGCTGAAAACTGCCATCCTGATGGTTGTCCTTTCTGTTAGGAAGTCCGCTGCCGATAACGCCGCAAAAGGTCCCACAAGGCGACACAAAGGGGCCTCAGGGGGTCACAAGCTGATGTACTCTTAGTAGGAAGGTTGTGTCAAGAAGGGCATCCAGCGTAAAATCTGTGCCAAAATCAAACATGCAGATCCACCAGCTGCTGCGTAAACAATGAGCTGTTCATCAAGCACTCCAAGACTAGCAGTTAATGCAACACTTGATCATTGCATTGTGGCACAAGGTCAGGTAACTTTCAAGGATATAAATCACTCATTCAGAAAATAGAAACCACTTTTTCCCCTCAAAGTGAGGAAGTAGGATATTTAAACATGTACTCTAATTAATTCCTTGCTAAAGCACACTTCAAGCAGGACAGTGTACAGCGACACACCGAATGATCAACGCTGTCAAATTACTTCTTCCTCTCAGCTCCAACAATAGCTGTGCTCTCGTGCTCAAACAAATAGTACTGCACCTCTGATTGTGTCTCCATGTCACCTGCTATGGAATAAATGGAAGTGGGAACAGGTGCGCTGGAGAGGCAACAGAAAGACAACCCCCACAATGGGTGAAGGATACAGTCCATTTCTCTCTCCTCATCTTTCCTGACTGACTTTTCTCTAGTTTTAGGGTCCTCGTCACTACACTAGGGCATGCTCCTGCAACACAGCAGTAAATGCATATGAAATGAGCCA